TTTTTTTGGTGATAGTATATCAACCCCTCAGTCTTCAATACCCCCGCATATGCATATCAGAGGCATGGAATGCAGTGTTTACACGGGGGTCTTAGGGTATATATGGTACAGTGCATTCAGAATAAGAAATCCACATACCTTGATTATATATTTCGAGGGTGCTATACTCAATTTTGTGAAGCATCGGATGGTTGCTGAGAACTTTGATGTCGGGTCATGTGATCTAGTGGATCATTTGTCGGCATTTCATATCTAAATTACTCTCATCTTGATTTACTCTGTATAGAGCTCAGTGAGCAGTTACCCGAGAGATGGAGCAGATGAATATGTTACATTTATTGTAAGAAATGAAAGTAGACGCTGCTCTATCATATGCGACCCATGAACTACAGTACAAACGCCCAAGCCCACCCGTATAAAACAAAAGGTATCTCAATGACAAGACATCACCTGTGGATTGAATCCGGTCAATCGCGTAGCCATGCCCTTCGCTTTTCCTCCTTCTTCTCTCTCCGTTTCTCCTTGAACATTTTCAGTTCCTTTTTAGTGAGCTTTTTAGCGCTCCGCTCTGCCCGCAGGCTCCTTCCATCATGGCTATTGGCCGCAGCGTCCACATCAAAGAAGGCATTCATCTGCCGGTAGGATTTGTTCTGGTCATTATGGTTCTCGGGGTTCTGTGATGCATCCTGCCATCGCCCGGTGAACCGGTTGAACGCGCCAACCGCCGCGTAGTGATCCGTACCGGGAGCCACGGCAGATGTATCCTCGGGCGGCTGCTCATACTGCTGGGCGTACGGAGCCGTCGGATCGTAGTCACCGTGTATCGCAGGGTTATAGCCACCTACCACGGGCGCGGCCTTCTCCGTGGACGGAGCGCTGGTCTCTACGCCAGGAGGACCTGCTGGGGCTGGCGCCGCCGCCGCCTCCGGCACGCGCGGGTTGTCCCACTGCGACACGCCTGTGTAACGATTATAGAAGTAGTACGCTCCAACGTTGGCATCCCAGACAGGTTCCCACCCATCGTCATCACCAGGAGGAGCTTCGTTGGGAAGCGGTGGTGGAACCTCATCTGGCAATGGTGGCGCTGAAGCTTCTCCTTCCTCCTCTTGACCTTCCTCCTGCTCAGAGGCATCTCCTTTATTTACTTCATCACTTCCCTCGCGCTCTTTGCCTTTTTCCTCCCTTGTATCCTCCTTGGGCCTATTTGGTGCCTGTGCTTGTGTCTCTGTCTGGTCTCCACCTGGGCTGTTTCCTTCCTGGTTCACTGGGTCATTTCGCCCCTCCGACGGGTATTCTGACGGATTGTCAGCTGTGTGCTTGGAGGGTGTTTCGGACATTTTGATTAGCACTTCTTGTTCCCTCGAGAGGGTGCGTCAGAGCCGTGGCAGAAGTGCAGAGGATACGGCGGGTAGGGTGAATGATTGAATTGAATTATGCGGGCGCCGTATCGCGACCACACTAACCAATTCGGGACTAGTCAACATCTTCCCCCAAGATATCGAATCGAAGATGAGCATCATGATCATAGTATCTACGTCTGATTTTCATTTCTCAAGAACAAAATCAAGCACAATGATTCAGCTCAATCCAGCAATACTAACAAAACAAAAAAGATGCATCCCTAACCACACTAACCCCCCTCCCACGTAAACAAAACAGACCACTAAGCTATTAGTCACTCGCAACCAAGACTCCTTCTCCTTTCAAAGCATCAACAGCCTCAGCAACCCACTCCTGACATCGTCTCAACGGCTCCCGCGGATACAACCTCCTCGCCCCTTGGAACTGCTTCTTGGGCACCGGCACACCCTCACAGATCCCCAAGACGCGTCCGTACTCCGCAACCGCGACCACACCCAGCTTCTCCTTGCCACAGAACCCCGGGATTTCCTCCGGCGGCAGCTCAGCACGGTGCTCGAAGATCATGCCTTCTTGGATGTTGCCTTTGACGTGGTAGATATGGCCGGTGGAGGGGCCGTTCTCGTGAGTCTCGACGAAGAGGGCGTGGTGGTCGCGCGGGAGGCCGCTTTCGGCGATCAGGTAGATCGGGTGGGTTGTCATTATACAAGCTACGTCTAAATTCGTGGGGTGGGTTTTTGTGGGGGTCTGGGATACATAAAACTTTTTTCTCGGGGCCAAAGTAAGGTAGTATTGGGAGTTGGTTTTGATGGGTTGGATGATATATCCGGCCTAGACAGATGTCAAGTTGTCAATGTCACCTCATTGCATGGCATTTTGAGTCTACCCGCCGTCCTGGGGAAAGCCGTTTCCTGCCATTGCGTTGACGCCTGTCAGGCGGTTCGGTGCTACATTGGATCGCTACCACCACTAATATGGTAGGAGCTATTTATTGCCTATTGAATGAGGACATTTCAAGCATTTGCTAAGCTTCTGTGGCTTCTACGGGTGGCAGTGGTGGTGTGGGATTTACTATACAACTCTGGTTTGGATTTGTCTGGAACACTGGGAAAATAGAGTTCACGACCTGAACTAGAACAACAACGAATATTAATAATCTGATTTGCGTAGCTCTAACGTGGATAATCAACTTTGAAATCAATGGCTAATGTTTTGATCTAATTTATTATGTGACTTAATATATATACGCCTCCCTATGCTACTGTAGCTATGAGATGTACTATCGGTCCTAGCCAAGATTCAAGCCCAACCAAAGACAAAGAAGCCAAAGGGAAATATTAATGTGCACACCCCTAAACCAAATATAGAGATAGTTCTAGCAAAGCTATTTCATTCATAGTATACTACATATACCCTTGAATGAACCTATTCATGGCAGATCTCACATGTCTACGACTGGCCTGAGGCCATCTAACACCAGGCAAACAATTCCTGCCTGAGTCAACCCAGAGATCCTACGTCCCAACCACCCTCCACCACTCACCACAAGGGCCGCTCTCACCACCCAGCTCAACAAATGTAACGGTACAAAGTATTATTCTGAACACGGTGGGCGAGGGAGGGAGTTGACCCCGAAACCAAGATAGACCGAAACCTCCCGCTCAATCGATCAAAACAAACCGAAGAAGTCCGATTTCATGTCCGACGCATGGGTTCATACTTTGTCCTAGAATGCGGATCATATTTCCCCCTGGAATACGAACGCGGGATTTGCCCTCCTTGGAAGTCGGCGGTCATCCCTGTGGTTGGCAGCCATTCTGGATCGGGGTCCCCGGGTCCATTCAGTCAAGGGATGGATACTGGCACCATTAAGCTCGTAAAGATGTAACTCAATAATAGAATCACAGCTTGGTTCGCAATGTCGGTGAAAAGTTGTAACCCGGTGGGAACTTTGTAACCATAGTGATTTTTATTCTTGGCTTGAAACATGGAACGTAAGCTGGGAGAGCGGTCTGGGCGGAGTTTATTCGGGGCTACTGGTGTTGTTCTTCTAGTTGAGTTTGATCTTGCATTAATGCACTATAGCGGGTAGGTTCTGCGAGACAATATTAGCCTATGCAGGGAGGTTCACGGGCCTTGTTGGTGTCTTGGTTATTGTCGGTGGATGGTTAATGTTGGATAAGGTATAGGAACTTGGAGGATAGATTTTGGTACTATTGAGTAAATCAGATATGGCATACAGGCAGACTGATGGATAATTCAGTTCATACAATAGTATACTAATTCTTACCAATTATATCAGGCATCTGGCTCCGTTTCTACTGTGGTAAAATAGCACTATGTAAGTTATTTTATGCATGGTCACTTTATAGTCCGTCTAGTTCTATCCGAAGTATCAACAACACTTTCAGTAGCACCTTTACGTTTACAACGATATATGGTAGAATTATTTCGCAATAATCTAGTCTAGTTCTTTGAGAAAAGAAGAATAAATAGTTAAAAATTGGTTTTTTTTTTGTAGAGGATTAGTCTACATAGTCATCCTACAACGTATCGTATACTCCCAGATATCCACCGTATATTTATATATATTTTCATAGCACTATCATTACTGCGCAATCAGTCTGTATACCATACTTTGGATTTGAATATATTATTATACTAAATAGCATCGCAATTCATACACTTCTTACATCAACTCTACAGTCCTTTCGTCATAATAGCTGTTCTAGCAAGTCATAGACTCATAGTCTTACTGGCCCATGATTTGGGCACTATACTACCGAGTCCTACCAGGAGAGTCGAAATGCCTACACAAAATGCATACGCTGCCTCAGGTACTGAAATCCCAGACATGTTTATTGGCCAGTAAGAGACCCAAAGCCAGCAAAGTCCATCGTTACATACACAGTCCCAGTAATTGATCAGCTCTTACCAAACGCGTGCACTCAACTTGGTGACATCAGAGCTGAAGGAAACATTCCAGTCAGATTCTTTTACTAATCCTGAGATGTGTGCCTGAGGGGGCAGTAGGTTGTCCATGGCTAGGTTGTGGGTCATCGAACATTGTCGGATCGGCTCAACCCGGCTCAATCCCTAGCAAGGCGAAACGGAAAACAGGAAAAATGAACTTGAACTGAGCGGTATTAGACTTCCTAACAGTCGACCGGCCTATATTGGAACAAGTGACAGAGATCACAGAAGCTCCCTGCGTGCGGAAATTAGACAGAAACTAGTGTAGCCACCCCTTGCCTGTGTCCCATCTCCACATGGGAGTTGAGGAATTGGTGAGACAGGGACCCCGAAAAAGAGAACCAATGAATTCGAAGATTTGCGGCGCCCAGACCATACTCTGCAAACGCCCTGCAACTTTACTCGCTATTAGTGGCTTGGTCTCCGGGGTGGATGCTGCATACCGCACGAGCGCCATCAGAAGATAGCTATGAGCTTACGGCATGAGGCAAACCAGCACTTGGTCATGAGACGAAAGTTAACAGGTAGTGTGAGTGTCCGATCTCGCCCAAGTTCACTTGTGCCAATGTCATGTGTCATTGGTCAACATATTTTCCCAATTCAAAGTCTAACTTCATGTAACGTGAACGTTGTGTTCTCGAGGGGGATCGACGGGTTGCAGAGCGATCGACAGGTCAAGACAGGAGGAATGAGACAGTCTTGTGTGCAACACAGGCAGTTCTGAACGGTTATGGTATGCTGCTGGACAGGTATCCTGGTAGATCCATACCGTTGGCTGGCGCAGACGTCTGCGGGGCCCAAGGATCTGCTTTACTGTAGTGACATGGACGACCATTCCTTGCCTATTGCATTCCTGAAAGAGTGGCGACCAGGCATCATTGCACTTCGAAAACATACTGGGAGTGTAAAGTAGGGCCTCCAAGGTAGCTCACAGACCACCAGATTTGTCTATATAAGGAGTCGTCTTCATCGCCCAAATCTGTTCTTCATCAACACAACCAATTCACTCTCATTCTCTCTTCACAGTTCAGTCTTCCAGACAAGCTTCTCTCGCTTACAAGCTTCTCCGAGTATACTCTCGTTCAAAACCAAACCCACCGTCACAATGCAGTTCTCCGTCGCCGCTGTTCTCGCTCTGGCTACTGCCGTTGCCGCTCTTCCTCCTGCCTCTGGCACTGGCGCTGGCCAGGAAGTTGGCAACGCCAAGAACCAGTTCCCTCTTCCCCAGGACATGACCGTGAAGCAGGCCTCCGACAAGTGTGGTAACCATGCTGAGCTTAAGTGCTGCAACAAGTCTGTCAAGTCTGGCGACTACACCCAGGCGGAGTCTGGTATCCTGAACAACCTCCTCGACCTGCTCAATGGCAAGCAGGGCCAGGGTCTTGGTCTCTTGGATGAGTGCACCAACATCCCTGTCAATGTCCTCGCTAGTGAGTATTCATCAACACCAACCATGGCCAGAGTTAAACTAATATCCACCAGTCCCCATTATCCAGCAGCAGGAGCAGTGCAAGCAGCCCATCTCTTGCTGCCAGAACACCAAGTCCAGCGCCGTAAGTACAACTATACAGTCCGTGTCTGGGATCATTACTAACCATCGCAGGATGGAAGCGTCGTCGGTCTTGGCCTTCCTTGCATCGCTATTGGCTCTCTCCTCTAAGTGATTGCCTTCGCCCAACTGGTAGTCCGAGGGGTGCGGGATGGAGTACGCCTATGAAATGTCTCCATAGTGTCCTTTTCAGTGTATTGTACTGCCATCTCGTGTCGTGTAACCCTCGGAGCGGAAAGACTGTTCTGTTTGCTTTCTCATCTTCCTGTGCAGCCTTGTGTTCCAGCCTTGCATCTGGAAATAGTTATTGGCTAGCCAGCTTAATAAATAGACTTTGATATTTACTCAATCTGTCTCTCACTCTATATTAGCAGTTCCTCAGATATTGAAACATTCCCTAAAACATAGAACTCAATATTTAACCTTTATCCACCTCAGTCTATCGTCATCACACTTCTACCTACCCTGATTGCTTGACACCCTACTCGCTATCGTCCCAATGATACCCGAACAGTAATATTTCTGGGAACGTGCCTTTGCCCTAGACCGCTGGTGGCCATGTAAACCCGAAATTCTCCTTTACTCCCAAATTCTTTCTTGACACCACCAGCCTCTGTGTTGCCGGTATTTTCCTACTTCTAATCAATCTTCATCGCATAGAAAAGAAGTAGACGTCAACCAGTCTATCTCTTACCTGCAAATCCTCTATCACCTTCATGTGGTGAGTCTTGTCTAGTCGATCCGTGACAGACGCAGTGCGTCATGAGCGAAGTCTCGACAATGATCTACACCTCTTCTTCGACTCCATGTCCTTTTTATCTCTCAGCGCGGAGTGTTGCGACGTCTTGTTTAGTTGTTATACGTAAGAGCTCTATTCTAACTCCTCCCTTTTCAAAGAAGCTCGTCATAAGTTTGACGTTTCTACATACTTCCTGAGTAATGCTCACACAGTCTGCCCAGGTACAAGTTCCCGATACAATCCTTAAACTCTACGAATTGCCACTGTATTATCTCACTTTCAATTAATACTAATTATACATAAGACATCGTCGAAACGAAAAGAGAACACGTCTGTATCTTACACCACCCACATAAACGGCAAGATCACCTGTACAAGAACCCCCCAATAGTATACATATCAAGAACTTCCAGTCCAAAACATCCCCAGAAAGGAAACAAAACCCCACGATATCGGCCAAAGCAAAAACCCCAAACCCCAAACGCCATTCTTAGCAAAAAAGAGGCTTCTCCTTACCCGCAGCCGTAGCTGCTGCTATCATCGTTTCATCCGCCGACTTGCGGTTCCCAAGCCGACCACTGCGAAACATCACCGCGGCCATCCTCCGTTCCTTCTTCAGATTAGTTGGCTCATCTTCCGTCATTGTGACCGAGGACACAGAAGAAGAAAGCGATGCTGCCGACCCGCGCGTGCGAAGCGGCGACTTAGGCGGGATACTGGGGAGTCGGATACTGGATAGTTTTGGCGCCGCCGCCGCAGTAGCTTGCAGGAGGTTGATGATTTCGATGAGAGATTTACGACGACTAACCCGCCAGGCTGGCATGCCTTGTTCATCCTTGGCTGGGATTGCTGTGTCGTCGTGCTCGTTTGCCTTTGATTCAGTTTCTTTGTCCGCTTCTTCGGGGATGTCTTCGATCATCCGGCTCCTCACTTCAGGTCCCTTGACGGTGTTTTTTCTTTGCGGCCTCTCGGGAATGCAGTGCAATTGCTCGTTGTCTTGCTTGGCCTGAGCATCACCTTTCTCTTCATTCTGGTCGCCCTCCTCCTCATCTTTAACATCCTTCTCCACACCTTCAAACCCAGTATCCCCCTCGACAGCCACAAACGTCTCCTCAGACACCTTCACGGGCGCCTCAACTGCCTTCCCCCAATGACTGCCTCCCCCACAGCCAGACCGTGGTCTCCCCTCATCATCCTCATCCTTCGCCACAATCCGAATAGAAGGCTTCTTCACCAAATCCGGGTTCATCCCCGGCGGACAGGAGTAAGGCACAGGATCCTTAGGCGGCACAGCCGGCGGTGTATCCCGCTCATGTTTCTGCTTCTGTCTCTGTCTCCGTCGACCCTGGATACAGGATCTGAATAGCTTAGAGAAGATACTCATTGTTTCTTTTTCCCGTTCCCCTCTTCTGATTTTCGTCTGGACCTGAACGAGCACCTTAGTGACAGGCGATGAGGGGCCCGATCGAGGGGTTTATATGACTATCGATAATGGGGGGCGCTGTGTATTTGTTTGGGATTGTCCGTTTCCGGACTATAGTGATTGCGGGGGATGGTGACGAGGGGATCTTTTCTCGTTTCTCTTCCCTGGACACACACACCCCAGGTGGGGATTCGTGGTAGATAGGGATAGACGAGGTGCGCTGGGTTCTTGCAGGATGGGCTACCTGACTTATGCAGCGTGTGTGTGTGTATGTGTATGTGTATAATACTTTACTCCCGGTGGAGGAGTGTTGAGCGAGGCATGGCGGGAGGGGTTATATGTGTTGCCCTATTACGCCTACTTCCTACCTGACAGTTTTTTTTTTTTACTTTGGTTCCTGGATCCTTGGTTGCCGCTTTCTATGTTTGTGTTGTATTTTGTCTGGGGAGTTGAGTTTGCATTCAACGTAAGGAGGGTGCGGTAGCAGGTGGGATGTAAGGATGCGTGTGGTTCGTGTTAGGGCTGTTTGTTGCTACTACGGGTTCTTCTATTCTGGATTATACTTCCGTGGGGAGAAGTATGCGGTTGATTGGCGGTGTGTTTGTGGACCGGGGGGTGGTGAGGTTAGTTATGGTTATTGCAGGGTTGATCTTAATATCGATTGCATGTATGCTGGACTCTGGGGAAGAGTAAGGGAGGTTAGAGGGGTGAAGTGTTGGACAAGCATGTTAAGTTGTATGTATGTTGAGGGCTGCGGGTTAGGGCTAGTTCGGGCTGTTGGGTCGGGGGCTCGTGAGAGCCCATTTTTTCCTGCAGCGAACGTGTACGATTTCTGGGGGGATTTTTATCAATGCTCCGACTTCGTGGGTGTCGGGGGTTATTTTTTTTTTTTTTTTTCTTTTTTTTTCTCCTTTGATTTGTGGCTTTGTTTTCTCTTTCTTTTTGGGAGGGTGGCTATTTGCTTGTTTCAGGGGCTGCAAGGGATGGGCTGTACTATTTGTCATGCACTGACTATACATGTCATCATTGCATTGCCGTAGCATCGCTAGTTCTATGCCTTACATACAAAATCTCTGTGCCCAGTAACCACGTATCGAAGAAACACCTGTATGAACAAAATAAACAGCCACTTAGAGCTTGCTCTGCGGCGTTGCCGTGTACAACGACTGGTTCCGCTGCATCGACTCCAGGGCCTCCTTCTCAATACGCTGGAGCAGCTGTGCACAGGTGGGAATATCATGGATCAAACCAATGACTTGGCCGGCAGTCCAGACCTAAAATGGAACGGTTAGCAAGGATTCGACACGTTTCCCCGGAAATACCGAAGGGAGAGTGAAAGACGAAGCAAAAAGAGGATACACATACTCCGAAATCGACGTCACCGTTCAAGAAGACCTCCCTACCCCTCTTGCCACTGACGAACGGGGCAACGTCGCTGAACTCTCCAGACTTGCTCTCCTTCTCCACCTTCAGGGCCTCCTTCGAGACCTTATTGGCGAACAGCCGGGTTGTGTTCTTCCACCGTCTCAGCACCAGGGCGGTGTCTGTCTCCTCGGCCTTCACGATGGCCTCCTTCACGTTGTGGTGGATGGGGGCCTCGATCGTGCACATGAACCGCGTGCCCATGTTGATTCCCTCGGCGCCGAGCGACAGGGCCGCGGCCAGGCCGTATCCATCCGCAAATCCGCCCGATGCGATGAAGGGCACGCCCAGATCCTGACGGGCACGGTTGAGGAGGATGAAGTTGGTAATGTCATGTTCGCCGACGTGGCCAGCGCACTCGAAACCGTCGATGGACAGGAAGTCAACGCCCAGCTTGACGGCGGATTTGGCGTGACGGATGGTCGTGCACTTGTGCAGGATAGTGGTGTTGGCCTTCTTCAGTTGATTGATCACCGGACCGGGGTTGTTTCCGGCCGTCTCGACAATCTTGACACCCTCATCGATGATAACCTGGGCGTACGCAGCGTAGTCTGGGGGCACGAGAGCAGGGAGGAGAGTCAGGTTGACACCAAAGGGCTTCTTGGTCATCGAACGACATTTCCGGATCTCTTTGCGGAGGTCTTCGGGGGTTGGTTGAGTGAGGGCAGTGAGCTGGATAGTCAGCGATACCGTTTCTATTTGCTTTCACATGTGATACGTACGATTCCCAGACCTCCAGCGTTGCTGACGGCGGCTGCAAGTTCAGCGTATCCAACCCATTGCATACCACCCTGGACGACAGGAACTGCGAGCGGTTAGTTAGGCACCAATGTATCTGGGGGTGAAATCTTTGGTACCTGTGATGCCCAGCTTTCTTGTTAGTGCAGTGTTGAAGCCCATTTTGTTCTTGTTCTAACTATATGTGACCGAGATTGAGCGTATGTACTTCTAAACAGCGACCGACTCGACGGTAGCTCCGATGGTTGATATGTACAGAAAATATATATTCTATCTGTGAAGGGTATCACGAACAACAGGCTATAAAAGGAGTGGTCTTCAGATCAGTAAAGGAATGCGACTTCTTTGTACCCGCGGATTTAATCTGCCGTGGGAGAAGAGTTGCCGAGGTTCGTGGCCGACCGACGGTCGGGTCGGCGAGATTAGTATTCAGGACGGCCCCTGGGGAAGAACAAGAATGCGGGGGAATGCTGCAAAGTTGATAGCTGGGGAAATAATCCTTAATGACCGATGACATGGCGGTATATTTTGCATAACATGGGATGATCCTTGCCATTCGTCCCCATTGCATGTCCAATGTTGTTGCGAATATCATCCCCGCATGTGATACGCGGTAACTTTATGAATGGACTCGTGTAGCACATGATTTCCTTAGCCACAGTCTCATGACCAGAGCCACAGAAGGAATGTGTGAGCAAGTGCTGGAGTCTACTACTACTAGTAGGTATGTACCAATAACCATATCTATAGCCTCAAGTGGATACGGTGTAACCCCGAAAATATGTATATAGATTCCTTATGGCTGGAGGAATAAGAACGCCATCAATGCATATAGGTATAAGTGAATGCCACCACAAATCAGCAAAAATATCCTAAACCCTTTTATTTTGCTCCCATTTGGCTAGCCAGCCACTGCTCGTGCAGCTTCTTCTGTCTCTCCCAGTCTTTCCGAAGCTTCTTAGCCCGGCTCTTAGCGATCTCCTCGCCGGCCGCATCGCGAGTGGGGAGACCCTCGTCATCCCACGCACTATACTCGTTTGTCCGGAACATCTCCAGGTGGCTGAGCTTGCCCTTCTGCAGCCTTTCCAAAGCCTCCTTTTCCTTCTTCTCCTTTTCGAGCTGCTTTTGCTGCGCCCGCTTGGCCTTCTCTTCCCGAGCTTGGATCAACTCGCGAGTCACCGGGCGAACGAGTGCGGGCAAGTTGTCTCGGTCTTCAAGATACACACCGACTTCGAACAAATCGATATCGCGAACACGATCGCAGAGTGCCAAAACCTCCTTGCTAATGTTACTCGATTCCTCAAGTGACGACAGTTTGTTGCGGAAATTGCTCAAGACATCAGCATATGGTTTCGTAGACTCTGTAACTTCTTCCTCAGGAAGAGCTTCACGCTCGACGATCTCAGCAATGGTCTTGGCGTTAATTCCTTCCTTCGCCCGTGCGGCTTGTCGCAGAGTGTCACGCATGGAGGACAGTGGGTGAAGGAAAGGCTTGGCCTCTTCCGGGACGTCAATGCCAGACCATCCAATCTCTTGGCTGTCGGCAGCAGCGTTGCCGTTAAGGCCGAAAATATTGACCATGGAGGTTATCCACCGGGCCACAGACTCAACATCCTTGGGGTTCACAGTCGACTTGTCGGTGCTGTTGTATTTCGTGATAAGCTCGGAGATGGCATACATGGCTCCCGGGGTGTTGAACGAGTCGCACAGGTGCTCATAGACAGCCTTTTGGGCATCTGCCAAAGCAGTGGCGAGAGTATCATCCGCGCCGGAACCTTGCAGGGCAGCAGGGTCTTTAACCTTGATGAAGAAATTGTTCACCTTCTCCTCCCATGAACCACCTGCGCTGACAAGGTCATCGGTGATTTCAACGCCATCCTTCCAGCCGCCCAGTAGGAACACGATTCTCAAGCTCCGTGGGGTCCACTCCTTCCTTTCTAAAGCCTCACGGATGGTAGTGAAATTCTTAAGAGATTTAGACATCTTAGATCCTTGGATAGACAGGTGTCCCATGTGGAAGAAATAGTTAACCCATTGGTCGTCGTGTGAGTGGCTATGGCTGTCTGCCCAGTAAGCCTCGCTTTGCGCAAGTTCGTTGTCATGGTGAGGGAACGCAAGGTCGACACCACCCGAATGGATGTCCATCTGCTTGCCCAATCGTGCGGAAGCCATGGCAGAGCATTCAATATGCCATCCGGGTCTTCCCCGACCCCAGGAGCTTGCCCAGCTGGGCTCACCAGGCTTCGAAGCCTTCCAAAGGGCGAAATCAGACGCAGATCGTTTATCTGTTGCTTTCTTTGTCAACGAGCCTTCTCCTTCAGCCAACAGCTTGCTATCCGAACGGTTCCAGGGTTCCAGCCGGGCGTACGGGTGGCCAGCCGCCTCGAAAGCGTTAATATCAAAGTAGACAGAGCCATCGTCCGTAACGTAGCCAAAGTTATTCTGCACGATTTTCTCCACGAAATCAGCAATCTCTGCACCATACTCAGTGACTCGAGTAATTTCGGTGGGATCAAGGACGTTCAGATCCCGCATATCCTTCATGAACCGCTCTTCATATCTCTTAGTTAACTTGGTGAATATGCCATGGTCGTCTGCATTGATCGATGCCCCTTTCAATGTGTCTAGGTACGGTAAAAGGAGATCTTGAGCTTCCGTGTAGAACTTCTCCGCGAAGCCCGTAGGCTGCTCGCCCGAGCGTTCCGCCTCCGCAATCACCTTTGCTGCCGATGCAACAGTCTTGATGTGCATTTTGACCTTCGCTTCATCGTCACCGGCCTTCTCATTGCCCGGCAAGGGCCCTCCATTTAGCACAGTGGCGTAGGTCTTTTCTACTTCACCCTTATATTGAGACGCAGGCAGATCTGGGCTCAGCAATGTCAGGTTCTTCTTGAGGTATGCGGTATATGCTTTCTTAGCAATGTCCAACACGTCGGCACCGATTGTAGGGTGCTCAGAGGTGAACTCCGTGAACAAGTGTTGCTGTCGGGCTCTAAGGATAATCTGTGACTCATTAGCGCCGTATTCCACCGAGTCGCATAAGCAGCCCAACGCGCAAAGGGCACAGTTCATAGCGTACCTTGTCATCCACGTCCGTGATATTCATGACAAAATTCACATCGAACTTGAAGTAGTCACGCATGATACGCCGAATGATATCGGTGCTAACATAGTTTCTAGCGTGGCCCAAATGGGCGTCGTCGTAGACAGTCGGTCCGCACGCATACCAAGAAACTTTCTTTCCTTCCTTATCGATGGGAATAAAAGGGTTCTTCGAGCGCGTCAACGAGTTCCAAACTTTCAGAGGAGGTAGGCTCTTTTCGGCCTCAGGGTGGAGGGGTGGCTGTTGCCATTGCGGTTGTTGGCGCGCGGTGGCCATAGATCTGGATCTGGAGAGAAGGACCACGGGGTAAAAGAGCGACAATCGTTGTTTGGACCGGTTGGTGAGGAAATGGGAGACCAGGCGAGGAAGTCGGTGAGAGGTGAGGGGCATCAGGAACGGAGCTACAAAAGAGGGACAAATAATCCAAACTACGGGAGGGGTCACTACCAGGAGGCCAACCTGACAACCAACCTGAGTCAAGTATTCAATGGATGCGCCAGAGGGTTGTCAACCAATAATAGGCTGGATTTTCAATGCGGTGGGAGCATCGCCCTAATCCCCTAGCCCTGAGCCCTAACCGTTGTCCAAGTCGGGTCTAGATCGGTGACTGCCCCAGAATGATAGAAGCTTTTGAGCTCGTCCGAGATTTTGCGATTGCGAAAGGATATTGAAAGCGCTACACCACACGCAGTCGCAATGCCTTCCCCCTTCCTAACTCCCGGCGCTCAGTCGCAACTCGACAGTCTTGCTCTTCTTCAACTGCGCAGAGATCAGACGATCCCGACGATTCTCCAACTCCATGACGAAAAGAACGCAGGGTATAAGGAAGGAAAAGTCACCAACACCCGCTTCGGCTCATTTCCGCATAGCACGCTTTGCGATCAACCATGGGGTTCACAGATCATCGCATCCAAGGTAGACACGGGATCACGGGGCCGCACGCAGCCCAAGAAGTTGAAGCGGAAAGCGGACGAGCTGGATTCGTCCACCCAGGCCGAAGATAAGCCTTCTCCGCAGACCCCAGTAACAGCCTCCAGCGGTTTCCTCCACCTCCTTTACCCTACGCCGGAACTGTGGACCGCGTCGCTTCCGCATCGTACTCAAGTCGTTTACACACCGGATTACAGCTACATCCTCCATCGGTTACGCGCGCGCCCCGGAAGCACCGTAATTGAAGCTGGAGCTGGAAGTGGCTCCTTCACCCATGCGTCTGTGCGGGCAGTGTTCAATGGATACCCTTCAGATGATCAACCGACGAAAAAGAGAAGACTTGGCAAGGTTTGCAGCTTTGAATTCCACGCGCAGCGGGCAGAGAAGGTTCGCGTGGAGGTGAACGAGCATGGCCTCGACGGGCTTGTGGAGGTAACACACCGTGATGTTTATGAGGATGGCTTCCTCCTCGGGGACCCAAAGACGGGCAAATCGCCAAAGGCAAATGCGATTTTCCTTGATTTACCTGCTCCTTGGCTAGCTCTTAAGCATCTCGTTCGCAACCCACCCGAGGGCACGGAATCACCGCTTGATCCTACATCACCGGCCTATATATGTACATTCTCTCCCTGTCTTGAACAGGTACAGCGCACTATCAGCACACTCCGCCAATTGGGATGGTTGGGAATCTCAATGGTGGAAGTCAACAACCGCAGAATCGAGGTCAAGCGAGAACGAGTTGGATTAGACTACGAAAATATTCGCGGAACAGTCGTCTTCCCAAAATCTGTCGACGAAGCGGTTGAGAGAACGCGCTCTCTTGAGGAACGCGCCCAGTTGTTCCGTGCAACTCAGAATCAAAGTGACGGCGACAGTACCCCTGCCCCTAAAGCTGAAAACGAGACAAAGGGCGGCGATTCTACCAGCAAAACCGAGACTGATACGCCCGCTCGCCAGCAAGCATCTGAGGTCCCAGTATATAAACAAGGTCGTGTGATGACCCGGTCAGAATTAGACCTCAAAAATCATACATCCTACCTCGTCTTTGCCGTTTTGCCTCGGGAATGGACGGAGGAGGATGAAAAGCGCTGCCGTGAGAAGTGGCCGTCAAACCGGGTACAGGAACCGCAGGGACCACAAAAGAGTAAGAAGCAACTGAAAAGGGAGTCAAAGGAGCAACGCGACCTGCAAAAGAAGGAGCAAAGGCAACCAGAGACCGAGTCTCAAAAGGAATAGAAGGTATCAGACCCATCTTAGTGAAACCATACTTTTGGGTGTTGTATTGTGTTCTGTTTTCTTGAGTAAATAGCGTTACTTCGCTGATATTCCATGACAGTGGGTTAGAGGTAGACTTGCAGTCATATTCGATGTCAACAAAGATTACTAATGACGACGGAGGGTCTCCTAAGAAATATATACACAGATGGCCCTGGTTAGGAAGAGAGAAACAAAAGCCTTGGTTTCATGAAGATGTATATGTACAATATGGATTTATGACCAACCCAGCGCAGTTCGATTTCATGGCATAAAAAAGTAGAAACCCAGACAATGGTGGGTATTGCGTTAAAAAGTAGAGCATTGTTCTAGTCAGCTAGAACAGTAAATGCGAGGTTGATTCTTATAGATTATTCTCCGTCTTGAATTTATCCCATGCTTCATTAAGCGTGCCAAACACTGCACCAGCGATCATTCGCTGCTCCGTCGTGGCGTTGGTAGAAATCTGTATCATCAGCTGCTGTGATATGGCATTCTTGAGAATCAGACGTACCTTGTCTGGATGCACCTTTGCAATCCCCTTCATATACTGCACCTTAACCTTGTTCGGCATAATCAGTTCTGACATGTTGATCTTTTTCCATCCAGCCTCCGGCCACAGAACAGTGTCCAAGCTTCCCAAAAGCGCTCGTAGATTGTCCTGTTTGCCGTTCTTCCAGGCAGCTAGTCGAGCATCCACACTTTCTGTAAGAGCGAATTTCTCTTCGTCGGCACGCTCAGCGGCTTTGTTGGCTTCTCGCAACCGACTAACAGCGGCGGAATTCGCAGATGAAGAACTGCCACCTTGCAGTTCATCCAGTGCAGATTTCTTAGGTGCCGGAGCCGGCGGCCGCCTAGCAGGGGCTGAAGGTTTCGAAACAGGCTTGCTAATTCCGGCAGCTTTCTCACATCTGTTGCGGCCTTGAATACTGGTGCTACCACCGTGGCCGTTCTCAACCGCCTGTTTCCACGCCTGTGCAGCATCTGCCCATCGCTCTAATTGCTCTAGGGCCTCGGCCTTGCGTATCAAGGCTTTGCCGAAAAAGTCCTTCATCGGTTTACTGGGTTCACCGTTTCCGATTTCGATGCTCTCGGCCTCTCCTTTCGAAGGGCCAATCACATCTAGGATAGTGTCTGCATCGCCAATTGCCACCTTAGGCTCACCAACTTTCAGTGCCGTCATGGCGCGGTTGCTCCGGATGATGATAGCAAGCGGATACTTTTCCGGTAACATCGACAGAGCTGCGGAGAAGGCCTCGTGGGCAGCTGCATAATCACCTCTCTTATAAGCTTCAGCCGCCTTTGTCCGATGACGATGCGTGGATGCAAGAGCTTCCGGAGACACCTGAGGAATGACTCGGGGCGGAGCTTTTGGCCGTGCGGGCAGAGGTTTGGATGTAACAGCTGGCCGCTTGGGCTGAGCCGGCGAGGGTGATGGTCTGGGACGTTCAGCAGGCTGTGGAGCCGGAGAATCAAATAAGTCAACGTTCTGAGCAGGGGCTGGAGATTGTGCGGTTGGCCGTTTTCTTCTCGCTGGGCTAACATATGCTTGTGCTGACTGCTCTTCTACTGCAGATTTAGTCAACCGGGCTCTGGGATCCTTCATCTGGCTTAGTTGTTGTTGTCGCATAAAGGCAGGCTGCTGCATATTTCTGTCACCAACTGGAGAAGGCTGGCTTCGATGGTTATTGCTAAGGGCGCGAGGTGGAGGTCCATCGTTGGACCTTGTCGGCTTGCGTGAGGCACGGGGGTCTACACCGGATTCAAGGAGAAGAGCTTCGTCAGTGAAGCTAGCGGGCTGTTTCTGAGACTGATCAGGAGTGCGCCGGTGCTCCCTAGGTAAGGGCTCCTCGCGGGCAGACGGATCTCTCAACCACCGGGGCTGGTTTGGATCTTGATCAGTGTTCAAGTCATTAACGACTTGTTGAACTTTTTTGCTACCAGTCTTCCACAGCGAGTTTGCTGTTTTCAACAGGTTATTGCCGAAGGCAGCGGCAATCTGCGACGGATCCTTGTCTGCTGTCGAAGGCGACCGATTATCCTCGCGGCGTCTTGAAGAATGGCTTCGCTCCTGTTGCATCCACGATGGCATATCGCGATCCGACCTCTCAGCCCGATCACTGCTCCGGCTCTCATGGCTTGGATAGCGTTCTTGAGCCGTCGGTCTGTTCCTAGACTTTTGTCGAGCTTCTTCGTGTGCCTGCGTGAGAAGCAATGAGACCGCAGCTTGAATGTCAGTTCCAGATGACGTCATGCGTAGAGCTTGACTAGCTTTATCTGCAGGGAATCCCATATCAACAAGCTCCGCAATTGCTCGGTCAGTTCCATTCGACGGCTTAGGGGATGGGGTAGGGTCTGCGCGCTCTGGAGTAGGAGGTTTCGCTGGTGGTTCCGGTCGGCGGACTTCAGAAACGGGCTTAGCCAGCAAGCCCAGGAAATCATCATCGTCAGCCTGTGCAGGTTGCGGCGGCGGAGGATTTGATCTAGGTTTCAACTGGTTAAGACCGAAACGATCATCATCATCATCCATAAACGACATTCCAGAGGCCTGTGGCACCGGAGAGGATCCATTGGGGGTGGGCCGTGATGGCCTGACGTCTATCCGTGGCGACGGGCTTGGACTAGGTACGGGGAAGTGAGTCGATGCATCAACAGGCGCCGAAGCGTCAAAAGCGGCAAGGAGATCATCTTCATCAGCAGACTGCGCTTTTTGCTGAGTAGAGGTCATGCCAATTGCAGTAGATTTGTTGCCACCCTTCTCAAGGTTATCCCAGAATTGAACATTTTGCGCCCCATACTGTGTTTCGAACCGAGATCGGTTCTCTGCCTCTTTCTTGGCTCTCTCTTCTTGTAGCCTCTTCTGCTGTTCGATAAGGGACAGGTTCTTATTTGGGTTGGACGAATTGAAAGACACTAGATTCGCAAAGCTGTCCTTGTCTGGTGTCGCAGATTTGGTGGGCGGGTTTGAAGCCCCGGAGGAGGCAGAAAGAGGAGTAGATCGGCCAGAGGTGTCATTGCGCCTGACATTCGGAAACAAGACGCCGGAGCTCATAGGTGGGGGTTTACGAGGGTCATTGGATGAAGTGGAATTCCAGTTCAGACCGCTCAGATCGTCCATGGTGTGGTCAATTTAGTACGAATAGGGAGGTGTCTGGGAGGACTGGATTAGGATAGAGGTCGTGGGAGTTAAGTGGTTCCATGGTCTAGCCTCACCGTCAACGATCGAGTGAGCTGATCCTGTTCGCGTGGTAGAACGTCTGGTGTATAGAGGCCCGGATATATTCACAAAGCAAGCATTAATCAAGAACTGACCACTTGGCACACTGCATTACAGTAAATGTTCTGAGACAGTGTTAACTTCCCCTGGAGATCGAGGGCCGCGGCCGTCATTGTGGCTGAGCAGCTAGTGGGGTGTGGCTGATGAGATTCCAACATGACTAAGTGGCACCTGTTGCCAAATGCAGTAACTTCTGGACCTGTCCATTGGTGCTACTTTGTTCAACATCCTTTTACCAAACGAACAAACTAGCTGTAGTTACATTGATATCTTTCGCCACCCAGAATATATTTAGGGACGCGAAGGCGCAGCATAGGGAGGGGCTATGAGTGGAGCATATAGGAGTACCAGAGACAAAGATAGCCCTTTGTTACGCCCGACTTGCGTCGAAGGATCTCCTCCTGACTACTGCTACTCTGTAATGTAGAGATAGCAGCTGGTGGGCCATTCGCTTTGCCTTAGCTCACTTTTAGTTCCTTCCTACAGGCTCAGGCACTCCAGTTAATTCATTGTTGCGAGAGTTGCGAGGGAGGTACGGAGTAGATGCAGAAGCATACTAATCCGTTAACACACTGCAAATGCGAAGGTCGTGCGGTTCCCCATCAGGACACAGTAGGGTGCTGGAGTATTTTGAGCTTTCACGAGGAAATTTACGTAACACTGCAATGTTTAACGCCATTAGGGCTGCAAATTAACTGACAATGTCTTAAGAATCATGCGAGTAGCTGTGCTGAAGTAGTAGGTTGTGGTTTGAAAAACCATTCGTACAGCATTTGTGATGAAGGGCTTTATTAATTTAAGCTATATGTGAGATGTACATAGCAAGCTACTCTAACAAACATAATTATTGAGTATATTCAAAGCAGTAGTTAATAAAAGCTGAGTGTTGGTAAAGATACAAGCTAAGTGTTGGTGCTGCTTTTTTCTTTTGTATCCTGTGTAACTCACATTGCTAACATAAGTTCATTGTGCTAGAATCTCAAAGATTAGGATGTCATTTGCCTCCTCGTCTTTGAGTGTGCTCGCCCCTAACAAAATATGATGGTGGAATTGTAAGATTGGGGATTATCTCTAACTGACAAAGCACAACGATATAGCCACAAACCATCAATAATCTATCATTATAGTATATACTACTTGCATGGTATTTAACTGGATTATATGCCAAAACTGCTTTCTGGCTTTCAGGATCATCCATACTACAACCATTGGGACTCGAGAAACAACCTGTGTGTCATCTCCTCTTAGCGGAGCTCTACACCATTAGCGAGCATACTAGACGATGAGGGCCTCATCAACTTGAAGGAGTTCCTTTGGTGGCTAATAGTCTAGAAGTATTCAATACAAGATTATTATCGCTCTTTATGAAGTTCTCGAAGAGCTCGTGCGCAAATCGATTAAATAGACACAGTGTACATCACGTCAACACTATACATTGACACGCATGGTACGTGACTCCGCATCACGAGTCGTAGGGCAAGACGAAGTCGTCGAACCTTATCCGAAGTTGCTTTCATCTCGTGTTGGCCCATTTCTTCATTAGAGCGCCAGAAAAAGGCATAACGACACTTGTAATTCCTTGGCCAATATAAAGAAACATGTGTGAGGATAGCATAATAACCTTCTTATAATTGTCCAGTCGACCATTGTTTTTGGTTCGGGATCAGTCCCTGAAGGCACTCAACAAACTGCACGGTGGTGATGTAGACATGGAGAACTCCAAGGCTTAAGGATGAGAGGGGAACCAGCGATATCAACAAGGTCAAGTAAAGGTAATGAACCATACGCGCTATACTGTGAATATGCTTGGTATCTGATACGGACCCTACAAGCTATGAGGATGGCTCAGCCCCGGCCAATAGAAAGATTATACTGTGTAAATTAGACCCGTGGACGGTTGGGATGGGTAACAGATAGATTACTAGCCCGCCTTAGGGTCATTAAGACAGACCCGACCAATCAACGCCAGCAGATCATGTGCATGTCATGTGACTAATAACGGCTGGCCCAGGATTACCAGATAATTTGCCAGCTGGCTCAACGATCCAATACAGCCTGGAACGGAACCCGGCTTGCTACGGTTCCTCCGCACTCAATCTGTGACTTGTATCGAGAAGCTACTAGAAAGGGTTGCGTCCGGGAAATATTCTCCGAGATTTCTTCGATATTTATCTTTTGGGTTTTTAGTTTCCCTGGAACCCTGTCAATATTAACACCTACCGACTTCCCCAATTGGCAAGCAGGTTAAGTTTTCTGAGATCATACATATACTCTATCTGCACCTGTCAAGATTCATCCATAGAGTTGATGCATCCAAAATCCTTTGATGCATGACCATTCGAACTTAGCAGTTCGCATATTGCTTTTTACAGGAAGGGACACTTTTCGGCCCCCCCCTCCTTCCTTCGAGTAGACGATCACGCCACTAGTACCCGGTATAGAATATACTACTACTGCATGTAAGAATGGCAGGTACTGGGATATGTATATCAGTAGTAGGGTAGTATCTGGGACTATCTAGATCAAACTGAGGACACCTTCCGGCGTCCCCGCTAAGATGTCCAACGCTGGCGGCGGAGTTTCGGGGGAACTGAGCCGCGGGCGCGGAAAGAGAGTTCCAGGACAGAGTTTAAAACTCAAGGTTGGAAACTCCCGACGTATCCCCTGGGCCGCAAAGGAAAGTTAAGCCGTGAAACCGGCAGTATGGCCGGGGACCAATGTCATCGCATTGGCGTTGAGCTGGCTGACGTCTAATATGAATTGCTAGCTAACCCTAAATGAGGGGTAGGATAATGGTATTATGGTATACCTAAGTACTCACCTAGGGCCCAGAGCTCCATGAGCAGATGTAACAGACATCTTGTGATAAAAGGGTGGCGACACTGTCTGAGTCATTGACCAGCACTGGAGTCAATCCCCACATATGCTTGTTCGGGAGGTTGCTGTAGTATGGAGTCAAGTTTCTGACAAGGCAACAAGTTCCAGTATCTATGAGAACTTGGGAGCAATCATACAATACTCGCTTACGGTGGGGCTACTGCACGGTACAGTATTTTCCTCGGGCTGTGGTGGGTGCTTCCTATGAGCACCCAAGTTGCCCCCAAAGTTCCTAGATTATATCTAACTTTTTAAAATTTCTGTTAGTTAGCTAGGGCGTCCATGAAGAAAAGGTGACTAAGAGTACGTTGTAACTATGGAGTGCAGGGTTTTGTGCCAAGGTCTCAAACAAGAAGGTTCCAAATCAATACCTGGTCACACATGGGAATCTGTAGTACAGTACCAGAGACATTTCGATTGTGGTCGATCCAGACATCGGTACTTGGTGAAGTTCTTTTGAAGTGGTGGATTTGTCCTCATTGTCTGATCATAATAGCTTTGTTAGGTTTATTCATTGTCATGTGAAAAGACGAGTGCCGTGACCCAGAAGTATAGTGGATATTTTATCCTGTATGTACCTTACTACTATCAACACCCTGTGGAAGATGAGTGGACTCCAGGCTACTGCTTTAAATACAATATCGGGCATACCATAGAGATAGTATCATTACCATATCTATCTGAAAAGCAGGGGCCAATAGAGAGAGTACGTGTGTTCGGGAAGTTCCTTGTGCCTTGCAGACGATAACCTATCGTAAAATGGACAGGGGCCAAATGAGGGGAATGGTTCTTTTGGCTCGAGAACCAGTCCGAGATTAGGTGATTGTGGACGGTATTAGATGATCCACAGCCGTTTGGGAATCGAAGAGGGGGTGGGATCATTGCTCTCCTCCGGACACATATGTGGTTTTTAATGTACGGAGGAAATGACGGTGCGGACATGGCCCAGCGAGGAATCTAGATCCGCATGCCTGGGAATGGCGAAGGACCCGAAATGGCTCTGTGCGCGAGTTTGGTACACTGTCCGTGCTCCCATCTAAGTATGAGGGGCTCTCCTTTTTTTTTTCCCACAATCTCCTCACTTTTTCTTAGTATTTCTAAATTTTTCTTAAACATTTCTTTGGGACATCGATCTCGGCCCCGGGAGGGGGACTCCATATTAATAATAGCATTCCATCAATAACTTAACTAATAGTAATAGTAATAATAAGACCCAGAAAAATATAAACGACAGCCAATCATTGGCACCCAATGCAGGGTAATCAATGGATTCGATGTATTGTGGGATGGTAATTTTTGTTTTCTTACCATACTACTACATGCATCACTCACTGCTTAAGATATTATCCATATAGGTCTATTGCACCGACCAGGCTCCGTTTCAGCATAGTACTTACATATATCTCATGCATACCTCATCCTACTGGTGAGAAAGGTCTTACGCATGAGCAATCAGGCTAAATTCCATACTCAGGACTGACAGGAGCTCTTACTGGATTCAGTATGCCGTGAACAGCGAACCGACAGAACACGGTACAGGCAGGATATTAGTCAATTTAGGTAAATAGTAATAAGAACTTCGGCCCTGTGGCCTGCGGGGCAAAAGGGAAATTTTCTTGACGATGATTGTTTTCTGCCCCTAAACTTCCTCACTAAATCACTAACTAATTAATTAGATTAAAGACCGACCATGGTAACAAGTACAATAGTCTTATACATATCAACGCTAAATCGGCCGTGCTAGTGCGACCATCTGCCAGACTGGAAGCGCTCTCCAAAGCTCCCCACCTTCCGACTCCGAGGCTCGACTAGACTGAAAGTTATACATAGTACGCCCTGGACAACCTCCTTTTCGTTCCAATAATGTCCTGGAAATTTGGGTCCCTATTACTCGAACCTTTCCTGACCCATCTCGCCTGCCGACCCGCCCCGTATTTTATTCTTGTGCTTGTTCTTTAGTCCTATTTGGCCTTTTTTATACCCGTGAGAAAATTACTCCAAATTCAAAAAAAAAAAAAAGGGAAAAAAAAAAAAATCCCAGCAACCTAAAAAAAAATTCATTAGCAAAAACTAAACGAGCTCAACACCAGTCCAAATCGGCAGTTCTTCTCTTCTTTCCAACCTTCCCGAAGCCGTCGCAGATCATTATTCCTCTGTTTATGCGTTTTCCCCCTTCTGGGTGACCTTCTTTGTCCGGTTCTCTCCCGGCTCCCAGTAGTCGTGAATCACCTACTGGTGTAACTCCTGTTCGCTTCCCCTCTCAACCTCTCTCACACCACTCTTGCTCAGTGTCACCCAAAGGCCATTCTTCTTTCTCCCTCCTCGCCACTTTCTGGACCCTCCCTGCGTCCTCTCCGCCCCCCCCTTTCACACGAAATCCCCGTTTCATCATGGGTCTTTTCAAGCGCAAGGACTCCAAAAACTCGATCCATACCGAGAGGGATGAACAAGAATCCTTTGTGTCAGCTAACAGCGCTCGTACATCCAATGCCTCATTGAAATCTCCTGGTTTCAAGGGAAGTGGCAGTGGCTTGCCCGCTTCCATCCCGGAAATTTCGATTGCCAAACCGCCCGACCCAGCCTTGGACCCTGCAGCTTACCTGCGAAGCATACATGCTGTTCGAGAGCGTTCTAGATTTGTCTTTGGGAAGGCGAAAAGAAACAAGCTTAACCATTTCGATGTTGATATGAGCAAGTTCGAAGCCACCGCGTCCTACATTGTGTCCATCATCAAGGTGAGCAAAACCAACTATACATAACCGCCCTCCCCTCCTCTGGCCACAATGTGATGTTCTCGATTTGACTAACTGTCTGAATTGCACGTGAAGAGAGATTATGCTCCAGACTATGATTCGATTCCTCCCCATGGTCGCTGGCAGCACTTCGATGTTGGTGGCCGACCCCGCATCAATCAGCTGCTACAGTCCTGGCCTAGCACAATCGATGCGCAAGAACGAACTCGGCGATTAATCGACCTCTTCGTAGTTTCCGTCCTTTTGGACGCTGGTGCTGGAACTAGATGGTCTTACAAATCGAAGGAATCTGGCAAGTTCTTCTCGCGGAGCGAGGGGCTGGCTGTTGCTACACTTGAGATGTTCAAGAGCGGACTTTTCAGTAGTGACCCTACCGAGCCATGCCAGGTGGATGGCGCCGGCTTGAAAAAGATTACGGTGGAACTGCTGGCGAAGGGCATGCAACACTCGGAGAACAACCCATTGGCAGGTATCGAAGGTCGTGCGGGACTCTTGATTCGACTCTCCGAGGCATTGAATAATCAGGATTTCTTCGGGGTGGATGCTAGGCCAGGGAACATGCTTGGTAAGTGACCAACTGGCTGGCATACTTGATTGGATGGCCTGCTAACGAAGGTCTCCTTCAGACTATCTTCTCTCACACCCCTCGACACAAGCTTCATCGGTCCCTATCATTCCTATTACAACGCTATGGTCCGTCCTTATGGACGGTTTGACGCCAATTTGGCCGCCTTCCAGAACACAAATCGATGGCCTGTCAATCGGAGATGCTTGGCCATGCTCTGACTTACCCCCATCCCCTCCCGCGCAACCTTGGGAGACTATTGTCCCATTCCACAAACTCACACAGTGGCTATGCTATTCCATCATGGTTCCGATGTCGAAACTGATGAAGATTCATTTTGCCGGCAGCGAGCTCCTAACCGGTCTTCCCGAGTATCGCAATGGCGGCCTGTTGATCGATATGGGTTTGTTGACTCTCAAGGAGGCTGATTGTGAACGGGGCATTGCTGCATTTAAAGAGAATGCGCAGATCAAGGGTCAACCAAATATGGAAGTTGTTCCTCTTTTCTCTACCGACGATGATGTAGTCGTGGAATGGCGCGCCGTCACAGTTGGGTTTTTGGACGAGCTGCTCGTGGCGGTAAACTCTCAGCTAGGGTTGGTTGGAGAGGACCAGTTAACCCTTGCACAAATGCTCGAAGCTGGATCATGGAAGGTAAGTCTTATTCGTTTTCTCCAACCCTATTGCACTTTGCTGATGGATTCTTAGGGCGGCCGGGAGATTGCCGAGGTATCGAGGCCAAACACTAAGGAACCACCGATTATGATACGCTCCGATGGTACTGTTTTCTAATGTTTAGCATACCCTGTCGATTCGTGATACCTGACTCCGCCAGCTATACCTGTTTATGGGTGGCGGAAGTCCTTACGACCTTTTAATGACCATATGCTTATGTCTTCCGTTCTTTCCACTTCACTCCATCGACATATTTGCGAAAGGAGCTATATCTTCTGCTGTAGAGCTACTATTTGGGATGGTGATACATTCTTGTACATTTCTTTTTGGGGGGGATGTCTCTAAAAGCATTGACGACCTCGGGACTGGCGACAGATTTACGTACTGCCTGTGAGCTGTGATCTGACGCCACCCGTTATCTAATATTACGCGCTCCCTGATATTCAAGGAAGCGATACGGCCTTTTAGTCTGTGTGGCCTTGTTCTAACATGTCAATCCAAGCAATTGACTTTCTGGATCTTAAAGGTGGAATCGCCTCGAAGGCGATATTTTTGGGGATAGTAGTGTAGTCAGTCTACAAACAATAGTGTAGTATAATGAAATTCATTATAGCCCGGAGCTAGAGGCTCATGCTAGCCATGGATACTTTAACCTTATCTGAAAGCCTTACGCCTCAACACTAATGTCAACTGCGCTAGTTTTCCAGTACACTGGTACGGTGAAAAGGTAAAATAAACATCTGGACGCCCTGGCTCCTTTCCGAAAGAGGAAGGAAGGGGCATGTACCTAAGGTAACCGTGGACCAAGGACCTATTAAACAGACTCCTATCTCAATTTCGGCCTTTACCTAGCAGTAGTAAAGGTAATAGGAATAATATGACATGTTCATGCTTGGGTATCTAACACAATAAAGAGCTTGACGATATTCTGACAATTTTTGCCTTCCTTTCCCCCGCCCTGTCGCTTTTCTTTGCTTTTCTTTCTTTAATTTTTTTTTTGGTTTTCGTTTGGTTGGGTGATACTACAGTTAACCATTTGCATGAGAATTGTTGGCTAATTCACCGTCCGGGGATTCTGGCGCAGGAAGCGGGAATCCATCCCCGTGACCCATCGCTGCTGCTTTTGAGAATCCCTCCCTGGCCAACATTGTATTCAGTACAGCGCAGTTATATGCTGCTTCACCCGGCGGGACGACAAGGAAGATATATGTGTTATCGGTGAACCGACCCAAAAAGACATTGAACTGGGGCGTCTTGGTATGCATGACGACGAATCCGGCTGAAGCGGGCGTGGTATGGGTATTTCGGGCCGCACAATGCTTGAACGCTTTCATTATATTGGAGAGTCGCTCGTGGCGATCATAGATCGGGTTGAGGTCGCCTATTTCCGAGGCGACGGAGGTGACGGTTAGGAAAGTCGAGCGCTCGAAGAGGATAACTTCCTCGGCATCGATACGCTTGGCGAAGGCGTGTAGGAAGCGCTCGATGACGCTGAGATTGGGAATGAGACGGTGGACGATGCCGGCCCAGGCCTTGTAGAGCGATTGGTCCCAAATGCTGCTGCCGAAGGTGTCGATGGAGAAATTGTCCGAGCGGCTGCGGATGAGGGCGGAGCGTTCTTCATAGATACGTTGGCGGTGCTCAGCTTGGATGAGATCAAGCTTGTGGACGAGACAGAAGACGTAAGCGTTCGGGCTGTACTCTTTCAAGGCGCCAATGATCGCGTGGTATGTGTCGAGGTCTCGTTCTACCTCACGGGACTCGATGTCAAAGACGTAGATCAGGACCGCGACGTCCGAGAAGATGTTCCCCCGTTGCGAGGCGAGATATGTCTCCATGAAGGCGTCTTGACCTCCGCAGTCCCACAGGTTCAGGGTCAGGTTCCCCATAAACTTGACATGGCTGTGTTCCACGTCAATTGTGGCGCCTAGCCGGCGGACATCTTTGGCAACGTAGTTGCTGAAAATAATTGATCTCATGGAGGATTTTCCCGAGCCACTCTTCCCCATTAACAGCACCTTTCTCTTCTTCTTTCGGACGTCCATGGTTGCTGGTTGTTGGGGTCGTTCCGGAGGTTGACTGTACCCCGCAGAGTGCGGGTAGTGGTTCTTTTAGTTCAATGGGGGAAACGGGGGCGTGGTGGCTTGGTTTCGGGCATCGGTTGTGTTCTTTGTTGGATCAATTGCTGGCGTTTGAGCTAAGGCGGTGTTATATGCACTTTGCTCTAGTGCTGGATGAGCACTTGACAAGCCCCAGCCTCATCGTTGCATGATGAGGGGAAACGATGATCCGGGATGTCACGTGTAGATCACGGGCCTTCGAGTGAGGTAACCAGTGAATACATCATTCACTGCTATACCATCGGTTGGATAAAACTGAATTGTTGACTGCAGACTTATTTATTATAGATCTACTTCGAGTGTGAAAAAAATAAGCAATAGAAACTACAGCGTGTTACGACGACACTGCTAGAGGAATGTTTGGGGAATTGGGCGTAAAACTAACTATATATTGTTTCACTGGTGATTCTAGATATCATTGGCTCTAATCTACCCACCAACATTTTAAGCATTTGATGTAATCATCAAGTTTGCAAAGATGATAGACTTAATATAAAGTGGGGATTGACTGCAAGTTATGATAAAGTGTTCATTAACTAGTTCTCATTTACTCATCGTTATACTGACCGTTCATTCAGCTAGCCGAGCCATCCCCATAGTACACCTCATACCACAGACTTCATAAGTTGAACGAGCTTGTCTTGCATATCACAGAATATATTCACAGCCTGTATATGCCAGTTAGTTAATATAAATGGCTTGAAAACCGATAGCCCAATCCACGTACCTGAGTAAGCTTTTCCTCACTTGCCCCATGGAGGTCTCTAGTGAAAGCAAGACGATATGCCGATTCATCATTGACGAACGACACAGATGACAAAGGAAGTGCCACAGAAGCTTCACTGTCGAATAGAGACTGGATCTGAGGCGCAGAACCTGGCTGCGAAAGCTGCTGCAAGAGATTCGGTGCAATAGTGATATGATCTACACCGGCCATCGCAAATATCTCATCCGTCGAGGTTAAACTGGCCGGCAGGACCTGTGTTTTAGCATTGATCGATTTGTAGTAATTCTGGATGGCGACACAGAGAGGTAGTAGCTTGTTCGGATCCGTGAAGCTGAGTGAAAACGTCAGTGGTAAAATTCTTTTACTATGCTTTTGAAAGGCTTCCCGGGCCTGCAACTCACCCTGGCTCGAAGTGGACCTTGAGTTGATTGACATAGGGTGCAATATATGTGCAGCCAACTTCCGCAGCGAGCACCGCCTGCGTTAGGGTAAAGAGAGTGGTGGCGAGCGTGCGTACGCCAGCTTGTTCAAGGGTCCGACAAGCTACCATACCCTCCCATGTACTTGGGATTTTGATACAGATGCGCGACTGCTCGAAACCTGGCTGTAAATACTGGAAAAGTTGAATGATTCCTGGGAGAAGGCGAGCGCCAACCTATTAGAGAAGATATGTCGTTGCAAAAGTAGATAATATCTTACTAAGAGCGTTGACAGTGGTCTTCTCGACCGAGTAAGAATAGTAAGGGTTTGTCTGGATATGGACATGGCCACTGATATGAGGGGTAATTTTCAAGGCCAGTTTCACCATCTATACCCTTCGTTAGCCCTACTGGAGTATTCGCACTGGTTTAATCATATGATAGAATACCGCTATCTCTACAGCTAGCTCCTCCAAGGAAAGGCCCGGAAACCGAGATAGGAGATTCCTTGCCTCTCCAACAGAGGAGATGATCAATGCCTTATGCTCGGGTTTGGAAAGTTCTCCGTAAGCGATGGCTTGGTTGGAAGTACAGTCTTGAAATGGACCTAGAGTTCTGGCAACTAACGGACTATCAATACAAAGTTCGATACGTGCCACTCAGGAACCTTTACATAGTACGTGGAGCAAGTACCTTCTTCATCCATGGTATCACAGTCAACAATAGTTCTCGTACGAAGGGCATCCAAGCCTGTTTGAGCAGCCATATTGATAGTTCGATCTATACTGACGATAATTGGCAGAAAGACAATACAGGTGATGGGTAGAGGGCTTGATGGACCGTATAAGATGATTATGATGAGAGACGAGATGGAAATGGCATGAGTGGATGATACACCCAGTCAAGTGAACAATGAAAGCTTGATAACCCCAATTCCCCTCATTCTTCACCTCCACATCCTCTCTGCTAATTAGCCTAATACGTCACTCGGGTAGTAGTAAATCAGCCGTCAATCGGCCCGATTTCGAATAACTTCTCCCCGATCATTATTTAGCGAGCTGTGGAGCCCAGTCCTCTACCTAGCTTCAAGAGACGGGGAACCCCCTTTGCGCATCAAAGCCACCGAGGCGCGCCCCATTGCCGGTGTTGACAGGTAAAGCTGTCTGACTGCTTTGTCTATAGCTAGCAGACAACGTAGTATTAAGAGCGGAAGTGTATTCGCAGTCTCGCACTGGCCACTACGGATTTTCAGTGATCGCTGCCTTCAGTATACTCTGCACGCACATGCAAATTCACGCAGGTCTGACATGGCAAACTTCGCAGAGAAAATGTCTAGTAGTGGTGTTCTGGCAATTTACTTGGATTACTTGCCCGTCCTACGCGCTTGCTTTGTCGTGACCTGCTCATTGATATACTTAAGATGATATGTAACCCTGATATGAAACCCGTCCATCTCATGGAAAGAGAAGAATGGGCGATTAACGACGGGACAGAACTCCTTCTCAGGATCTTGTAAACCTCGGCGGTCGCGACAGAATGCCGAAACCAGTGAGGCTTGCTTAGCACGTCAACATCATCCCATGTAATTGTGGTAGACAACGTGGGCTGAGACCCTTGGGAGAAGAAAAGAAGAAAGGAAGAAAGAGAGAAAAAAACACACTTGAGAGAAAACCCGGAATCGGTAAGCGGAGGTGGAATGGAAGAAGAATCTTCCGGGTAGTAATCCAGCCCTTCTGATTCGCTGATTCTTCGAAACAGCCGTGAGTCCCGTGACTGGAACCTAAGCCCGAGGTTGTCCGTCCCGTGATTCCGAAGCGTTACGAGAGTCGGGAGTTCGAGGCGTCTTTCTTCCTGGACGACGACGGCTACTTGTCTGGATTATCAGCTCTGCACCGTTGAACGGGTCCCTAAAACACATCATGATTTCTCAGAAGGTTGCTCAGCAATCGCTGCGGCGGCGTATGTGCCCCTTTGGATACTTTATGTTCAAATTGAGTAGCACTAATTTGTTGCAGTTGCCGTCCAGCAGCCCTATGCCATGCGCTGGTCTTTGATGAACTCCGCAACCCCCGCTGCTGTCGCTATGGGACGTTTTATGCAGACCAGGTGAGTAGTATATTTTTCTTGGTTTACCTCTGCCACTTTTGCGACAGTCTCTTCTTTAGAGGGTTCGCATGGATCGCTACGTCATGGGAATCCAATTTTACCAGGCGTTCGAATAACGATGCATATGTACGGCCATCAATGGTATATAGATGCTAATTTAGACAACCAGGCAAGCTGCCACTACCTCGAACACCTCTGACCCCACCAAAATCCTTGCGCAGCAGCGTCTGAACCGTCCCGTTTCCCCTCACCTTTCCATCTACCGCCCCCAGATCACTTGGATCGGCAGTAGTTTCCACCGTATTACCGGATTCGCCCTTTCTGGCTCTCTGTATCTTTACGCGACTGCATACCTTGCCTCGCCCTTGCTCGGCTGGCATCTGGAGTCGGCCTCCGTGGCCGCTGCTTTCGCTGCCCTCCCCATTGTTGCCAAGGTCCTTCTCAAGGGTGTTATGGCTCTTCCATTCACCTACCACTGCTTTAACGGAGTGCGTCACTTGGTCTGGGATCTTGGTAGGGGAATTACCAACCAGCAGGTCATCAAGTCTGGTTGGACTGTTGTGGGCCTGAGCGTGCTCAGCGCCCTTGCTCTCGCTTTCCTGTGATTTTCTTGTGTCATACCTATTAAGCTGATCTTGTTTCACTAAAACTGTTTTCTATGCATTATATCTTATCCCGGTCAATTCAAACTGATTTTTGAATTTCATGATTTTTCCTTTTCAGACATCCATGGTTCTAGGCTTGGGGACGTAGATCACCTAAAGATCGCAGGCACGAAAGGGTGAACAACAAACAGAGACGGAATATTTTAGGAGAGCCAGCGTTGTATTTTCAATGCCGTGTCCCAGTTTTCCATGTTGAAGGATTTCTAATGTTCTATCGCAGCGCATCTAACATGGATGTAGATAAGACTTGTGTGTGAATTATAAGTTTGGCATATGGCTAAGCTTGTTTTCCTTCTAATTTATGGTTATTGGTTCCGCTTTTCAGACAGCGTTGTACATTGTTCAATGCAAGGCTCTTTCCATATCACGAGGTATGTCCCGCTACTTCCTTGCTTGTCCGCCAGAACATATACATTCTTTCTCATGAAACACCATCTGGCATTATCATTGTACAGGTGCTTTCTAAAACTCTTTGGTACTCTACACCACAATCGTCAGCGTTTCGAACATTAGGGTTGTTATTAGATCTGCAATGGACGGCCTTATGCGTGCTGTCTTCTAAGACACGACCAGTCCCGCCCATGAAAGAAGCATTTCAGAGACTCACCCACTGCGTCAATTCATGTTAAGAATGATATTATTGCCCGAGAAACAAGGCTCCGAATCATGCAGGGCTCGGTGGCGGGTTAGGTGGATAAGGTGGTGGTGAAGGTGGATCTTGGACAGAGAAATCACTCAGTGTGATATCGATAATACTCTTGAGACACTGTTCCGACTGCTTATATCTCAAAAAGAAGTTGAAACTAATGTCGGTGTCCTGGCATGCCATGTTAAATGAGGTAGCCGACATTATCAGCACAAGTTGTTTATCAACTAGCTCGAGATGCTCAAGAGATATGAGAAGATAAAGAAGCCCGCTGCCGTATGAGAAGCCAAAGTGTCTTCGCTCCTTTCAAAAGAGTTCTAGTAAAGTAAGTATTCGAATGCTTCGACGTCCGTTTTCTAAACCGTAAAACGATTTCTCCCAATACCTGGCTACCACTCACCGTTTAATAGCCCCAGCTCATCAGGCCAATTTCCGACTGGCGGCTTCTTCTAAGAAAATTGTACACCGCCATCCTGCCTTAAAACGTCCGATCAACGGGAAATGGCCGCGTGGATCTGACACTTCCGACACTCTAACAACGGTCTTCGCAAATGAATTCAGATCTAGAAAGACACTTCGTCGGTTGCTCCTGCAAGGGCCCGGCGGAAGACTAATGTATAATACATTAGACGGTGTACAGAACACCGATGGCCTCCGGCCTTTGCCGCGGGTTGGTTCTTGGTAACGGCAAACTAGGCCAAACAGATTCAGCGGCATTGAATTGTCTGGAAACAGACCGTTTCTTCGGCTGCCTTGACTACCCCAAGCTGCATGTTCAGTCTTGGTTGGTGATGCCTGGAGAAATATGCGAGATAGCTCCCCGGCATACTTCAACAGATGAGTTGGTAAATGCATGTTGTCGCTGGTCAACCCTAGGATGATCTACTTTAACAGAGCAGCCAACGGGAGGTGCTGGCTATGGATCTTGATAGATGAAGATCCAAAGAGGCAAAACCATCCTTTTCTGATTATATTTGTAACCTCAATAAGGGCTATGGATACCAATCACGACTCCGATTTCTTCGATGAGCTCGGGTGCGTTTGACAGCACACGTATACAGCATCATCGGATTTTCAGCTAACCTTTCAGAAAGAAAAAAAAAAAAAAAAAAAAATTTTTTTGAAGCAAAAAATGAAGATGCAGAATGCTGGCGAGGCCGAGTGACAAAATTGAACTGCTGGGCTTCTAGATCCTAGATTCTTCCGAGTCAAATGTCCAACGGTAATTACGCAACCAGACTTTCGTGTAACGCAACCAACTCTTATCGCTATCTACTCTTATGTATTTATTTATTTATTTGTTTGTTTCAGGGAGCGAAAGGGGGTTCTGTCCTTGCCATTCCATGTAATAATTTTATAGGCCTGGCGCCCCTAGCGACTACGTCTGAGGATGCAATCTATGAAAGCAAACAACGAAGAAGCCTACCAGCAGGTACGGAAACAGTCCCTCACGCAACACAGGCCCCATAATATAGGAAGAACCCCACAGCATGCAACACGTGGACGATCTCCAGGTTGTTGTTGTTGTCGTCGCACTAAACGTAGGAAAGGCACACAAGTCTCCATTTGTGTTCTATGCCCCAGGGTTTGGGTGCTGATTATTTTCTATATTCGCAGAAAACCCTGGAAGAGAACATATTCCGCGGCAAGCGCTAGCACACCGGTATTTCTTCGATATATTAATTTATTGTCCACAAACGAAGGGGTCTCAATGCGTTATACCTTCAAGTTGGGACGAAGCCTACTCCACTTTGTCCACGGCATATTGTCCTTGTACTGCATCGACGTGGAGTATTGTTCCTAACCCGGAGGAAGAAGTCATTGGAAGGTTCCATGGTCCGGTATATTAAGGACCTGAACATCAGATTTCGCAAAAATTGTTCTTATTCAAAAAATCCATCGGCAAGTTGTTGTTTTAAGCTCGCCTATCTCGCTCTCTTTTTTCCCGTTATTCACCACCCCTCCCAATGCTTTCGTCCTGCTCACCCAGGAAACTAGAACATGTTCTTGGCATCCTCGAATAATTTCGGACCTCTTATAACCATGACAGTTCAATCGAATAATGTCAACAAAAGTGGCGCCAGTCATGGGCCCCTGACTCGGTGTCACCTCAGTACAGCCAGGTCGGGAGAGCACACTTAATGCTTACCGCCAATTACGCGTACACGGAGATTATCATCAGAAAAAGGCTCTACCAAACGGCGAAAGGATCATGAATCTGATGGGAACAGCGATATAGCTAAGCTGCTGCTGGTCACTATCAACTTCCTAAATGCTGCTGCCGTGTTTCGAGGAAAGGAGAGAAGCCTCACTAGGGACATCAAGTGAAGCTAGACAGTGGACGACTCTGGCTCTGGACCGTTGAATAATCATTGTCTTACAAATGGATAAACCCCATCAGGAGGTAGCCAACAAGCCAACTTCACTCTTCGAGCATTTTGTGAAACCCGTCAGTAGCGGCCCATGCGGCTTGAGTGAAGCCACCAGATATGTCTGGGTGGAAGGGTAGACACATCAGTATCGAGTTTGTGTAAGCCGAAACTAACTTGTTTTACAAGATTAAACAAAGGGAGCCTGCCGGACCTCTCTTTAGACTCCACGTAAGTTGCTAGATTTCATAGTTTCAAAATGTCGTTTGGGCAAGGCATTCGTTATTTGGTAGGAGGTATCTGATAGGCTTACAGCAACATTCCTCAGATCATCCCTTATATTCCGCCTTGATATATAAATCATATATTTTTTGCTATTGTAGAACTGTACACAGGGCTAAAATAGTTCGTGTCGCCTCTCAACGGCCTACGATCAGTTACTGGTTTCCAATCGCCGATGTGATCTCCATGATTGATATGAGGGGATTCTTCCGGTACTAGATCAACAAATGTGGCTCAGTCCGACAACTGAAGAGAAGCCCAGACCCTATCGTGATACAAAACTAGCAAGGCGTTCTGGCAAGGAACTAATAAGATTTACTGTTCTTACTTCTATTGTTTATACTGTGTATACGGAATACTTCGGCCGGGTTGCGCTATCCAAAAAGGGACTAGCGCCACATCTCCGAAATCTTTCCAACCCATCATTCGAATTCCATCGCGGCTGCTGTGAAAAGCCCGGACAGGTGAATTGCCTCCGTTTCTCCCACACTTGCGGATTTCAGCTCTTCGACTCACAAAATGGCTTCAATGCTACCAACTCGAGCGGCCAGGACCATCGCCTGTTCCGCATGCCGCACTATCGTTTGTCCTAGCACGATTGGATCCGCCTCCCTCCTCCGGCGTAGTCTGTCGACATCTACCGAGGAGACACCAGTCGATTATACAGACAAGCCTCGATGGTCCTATACCCCGCCTCTTGCAAAAGCTCCCTTCAGCTTGCGATTGAATACCAAGCGGCGTGAATACCCCGTCAACGCCGATCCGAATGTCCTTGACGAATTCTACATCCGCATGCTGGGCAATGATGGCGACAAGCTCCTTTCGGACGAAATCAAGTGGCTTGCTGTGACGCACAAGAGTTTTGATCAGGGTCGGAGAGGATTTAACGACCGTCTGGCTTTCTTAGGTGTGTAGGAATCTGAGGATGCGATGCTGCGATTCTCGAGATGCACAGGCTAACAAGCAATTACACTCCAGGACGACGGATCGTTGAGCTACAGGCTTCTTTGGCCATGGTGCAAAGCCCCGGAAGTGCGGCATCCACCGCTGCCCCTGATGCGTTTGACCGTGCGCCCTTTACGCACCCGGCATTGGAGGGCCTGGAGAACCTCACCAGCCGTAAGAATTTCTTGATAGGTAAAGCACAGCTTGCGGAGCTTGCGCAGAAGTATGAGCTGCAGAAGGTCCTGAGATGGAATCCTCGGAAGGTAAGATAATGGAACATCATTCTCTTCTATTGTTTTGCAACATACTGCTTTCGCTACAAATGCCTCCGCTGTACCTTGCTAACACCGATGCCCAGCCCAACAATCTTGCCAGCTCCGGAATCGAACTTGTTCTTGCCCATACAATGTATGCGATCGTCGGTGCCATTTCCCTGGAGAAGGGCGGTCTCGTTGCCAACAAGGTGACACGCGAGCGGATATTAGAACCATTGGGATTCTAGGCTTAAGTCGGGATATCATTGTTGGGAAATGGCCGCAGGAGCATTTCGAGGCGTTATCTCCTTTTCGCTTTCTTGTCTTTTTTATATCTTGGATGTTCTCTGTATGTGTTGGGGGTTTTGGTCATCCACCATATATGTACTTTTACTACGACCATGTCTTATATTGATTTTCGAATACCACCCGGAAGGATCCTCTCCCCCGACGGGCCCTCTCCTGCGGAACGTGTTGGATAACACGTAAGCCATTATGAGAATAGAATTGTTTATTAATGATAGATATGTCCGGTTCCTCTGACACCGCCCGAGTAACAGAGTAAAATACGCGGCCAGCTCTTATGGAACCCTCTTTACGATGCATAGTCTTCGCGCCACTGTATCGCAAGTCAGCAATGAAAGACTGGGACTATCGTACAGAATGTACGACGACCCCAGAAATCACAGAACGTAATTTGTGCTGCCTTGCACTGTCTATTGGGAGCGTTGGGATAAAAGAAGAAAAAAAAGTGAGAAGAGGGAAAGAAATTGCGGAAGAAATACTCTCGTGCGGAAATGGCCCTAGCCTGATCAGGTATGGTGCCGACCCTGGAGCCCGCTAAAGCTATATAGGCTTGGCTTTCTTTCCTGAATGCTCTTAATACTCTCAGCATCCAAGCGAGGTGCCTCAATTGACACAGCTATATTACCCAGATACGAAATTCTTGAGTGACTATTCTCCAACTCGGCAAAACTAGCCCAATCAATAATCTATCATGTAGTACACTGTTATACGGTAATAGCGACTAGTCGACGGCAACAGAATCATACATTGCGATATATATTCTCCTTCACCTCCAAACAATATCGACTATCTAATGATCATGTGTATTCTCTTTATGTGATATGGTGGTTGCAATACCATGCACAGCTAACAGAGCCAACAGTGGAGGCAATGATAGAAGGCTTTGTGAAGTGGTTTAAGCCTTCTAACGACTTTCCTCAGACAGGGACTTTACATTTGGCTTCAACCCGCAAGCCTGAGGAGTATACTTGACAGGATGATGCGTTAAGCCTCAACTCTGCGACTTTTCCACCGAGAACGTTTACAGATTCGGTCTAGGGGTATATACGTACTGACGCAAGGTAGATACAAACCAGACAGACCTCCACTACCTTGGGGATAGGTTCCCCAATGTGAATAGTCTATGTACATACTTAATAGAGCTCAAGACCTGAATGAAGATTGTTGATGTTTATGAGCCTTCAGCTGAATGGCCCAGCACAGCATGAGGCAGCAATTGAATTTGACAAACCTACCGCGCGCTGCAGAAAGAGCCGGACAGGCGCCAGCTAGACGCAGACAGAAGATCATAGGAAAATCCGTATTCGATTCGAGACTTTGCCTGTAGACTATGGGGTTCAAAAGCCCTTTACAGGCTACATCCCGCGATTGTAAAAGCAACTATTTCACGCAATGGTGGCCTGGTTTCGACTAATGGAACAAACGGGAAGGATGTGCATAGATATACATAGGATAGCTCAAGATGATGTTTGATAGAACTCTCGATGTCATAACTTCTCAAACTATTCGTAGTAAATGGAATGACAATCAATGTTCCAGGCCGGCCAATATTACTACAGAGTATATTATACAGATTATATGACAAGTATTCATCTCTTGGGGATTATATCAGTTGTAGGAGGATGGAACCGGGCGGTCAGGGGAGCGGGCGATGTATTGCGTGGCAGTACTCAATATAGTGTGAACGTGTACAGGTGATTAGAGACTCCATCGTCTCATACACTGACGCTCTCTGGCCAGTCTTCTATTCTATATTTCTTTATTGTGAGTTTCTCCACTACTACTCCATGATCTGAACTTATACTGTGATCCATTGTTGGATTAATACTGATTGTAAGGTTTTATCGCAGAATGTCCGGCTAGTGTTTCGTTGGCCTCTTACCGTTGAACTAAGTCAGGAGCCTCCCGCTGACCTTGCTGCCCTATTAACATCCACCCTTACTTTCACGACTCCCACACGATCTCCAAACCTCCGCGATGGCGTCGGCTATCTTCTTTTTAGATTTGAAGGGCAAGGTAGGTAGATACTTGGCGATATCTCTTTTCAATGACCGCTATGTCCACCATGCATTCTTGCGCTCACCGTCAAAATAGACCCTTCTAGCCCGAAACTACCGCGGAGACATTCCCATGTCCGCGGTCGAGAAATTTCCTATCCTCCTCAGTGACGCAGAAGAAGAAAGCTCCGCCGTACCGCCATGCTTCTCTCATGAAGGAATCAATGTATGTTATGTCCGCAATCGCATCGGTTTTCGCACCTGCTCCCCGCTCGTCCCCGCAGCCCGCTCTGCTTCCCTTCATCCCCTATAACTACCCGCCTCTACTGCGACACCTCATTTGGGAACCAGGTAGCCATTAGCCTTTTCTCCCCATCTTACTGATTAACCATGGTGTATCTAGTATCTTTACATCCGTCACAGCAACCTTTATATCCTCGCGTTGACAAAAAAGAACACCAATGCGACCGAAATCCTCCTCTTCCTCCACAAAGTCGTGGAGGTCTTCACGGAATACTTCAAAGTCTTGGAGGAAGAGAGTATTCGCGACAACTTTGTCATCATCTACGAATTGCTTGATGAGATGATGGACTTCGGATACCCACAAACTACGGAGAGCAAGATATTGCAAGAGTAAGACGACAACTGTGACAGAACATGACTGAAGGTAACGTTGCTCATATGGTATCAGGTACATCACACAAGAGTCGCATAAGCTCGAAGTCCAAGCGCGTCCCCCTATTGCCGTTACAAATGCGGTCTCCTGGCGAAGTGAAGGAATTCGCTATCGGAAGAACGAAGTCTTCCTTGATGTTGTTGAGTCTCTGAATCTCCTCGTATCTGCGTCTGGGAATGTCCTGCGATCTGAGATTCTTGGTGCTATCAAGATGAAGTGCTACCTGAGCGGTATGCCAGAACTTCGTTTGGGTTTGAATGACAAGGTCATGTTTGAGACGACGGGTCGTGCTACAAGAGGCAAGGCTGTCGAGATGGAGGACGTTAAATTCCACCAGTGTGTTCGACTCTCGAGATTCGAGAACGATCGAACGATCAGTTTTATACCCCCGGATGGAGAATTTGAGCTCATGAGCTATCGCCTAAACACACAAGTGAAACCCCTTATCTGGGTCGAATGTCTGGTGGAGTCGCACTCAGGCTCTCGAATGGAGTATATGTTGAAGGTGGGCGATCTGGTGGCCCCGAAGACTTGTGTCGCATCTAAACTAATCCGCCTATCCTCTGTAGGCCAAAGCACAGTTCAAGCGCCGCAGCACGGCCAATAATGTGGAGATCCTTGTGCCCGTACCGGAAGATGCAGACTCGCCGCGCTTCCGCACGAACATTGGAACGGTTCACTATGCGCCAGAGAAATCCGCTATTATCTGGAAAATTAAGCAGTTCGGTGGTGGAAAGGAGTTCCTGATGCGTGCCGAGCTTGGTCTCCCATCTGTCAAGGGAGATGACGAGCACGGAGGTGGTATGACTGGAGGTTTCGGAGGCAGCATGGGCGGCACTGGAGGCGGCAAAGCCAAACGGCCCATCAACGTCAAATTCGAAATTCCTTACTTCACTACAAGTGGTATTCAAGTACGGTACTTGAAGATTACTGAACCTAAGGTATGTTTTTTTTTATTCTAATTCTTGCGTGCTACCATTCACCTTCTATAAACATGATGAGTCCACAACTAATAGTCATGTCACAGCTCCAATACCCCTCCCTACCCTGGGTCCGTTATATCACGCAGTCAGGCGACATTGCGGTCCGTATGCCAGATGTACAATGATTTAAAGCGTTTAATAGTGTCAATAGATATTCTTTCTTCACTTTTCAGTTTCTAAGATTACATAACGTCTGTCCCTTGACCTGCAGATCAGGCTAAGGTGGTCATTTGATCAGTAGTTGTATAGAACCATGCGCAAGTGCACTAATTGGGCTTGCCCAGAGACAGCTAGAGTCCCCATATTGACCGTGGTTGAAGTTGAGTATTATGCTGCATATATGTTGCCTGCTTCGACACACAAAACACCAAAATCTCATTAGCTCGACTGCAATAATATGAAATCACAAGTACCACTCTATCATATTCACCTAAAGTATTTCCACCTGCGCTACTTCTACAAGTACACAACCGTACTCTGTAGGGAGTACACCTATCACGATTCATAACAACCGAATAGAGTTTTAACCGTTGCTCAAATTTAGCCCTGGCTTATGTAGCCATATATGGCTGTGCTAAATATAGAACAAAGGTGCTTTGGTCTAGTGGTAGGACGTTACGTTGTGGCCGTGCCAGCCCCGGTTCGATTCCGGGAAGCACCACTGAACTCTTTTCTTTTTGAGCTAACTTACTGCTCAGCCCTTTTCTTTTTACGGAGTAATTGCCGCCCTGTTGAACCAGGATCGCCCTGTACCCAATACTAGGGTTCCAATCTTCTCAGAACTTTAACGTTTCGATGAGTAAGCGGACCTCAAGAATTCCTTTCTTCACCCCCAGTGATCGACATGATCTTGTATGCGTGCGCTATGTCATGATGAAAGGCCAAGAAATCTCAATTTTGAAACGTTGGTAGCTTGGTAGGTGCGATAGTTGCGTTGCTATATATCTTGGCGGATGGAGCTGTCTACGTAATGCAATCTGTCGCAGTTGGGTATTGTAGAAGCTAAGATTTGCTTGGGTTTGTGTGTTGAGATTTAGGTTGTTTCTTATTTGGCGCATTCTTGACAAGAGCATTGGCAGGAGAGAACAATTAGAGTACGGATTTACGGCTGAAACAGTTTCTATAGATTGATAAGATCGATCACGAGAACGGAAAGAAATCCGCCTATTATTTGTAAGACTGAGGTTGGAGTCTGGACCACTAGGAGAGAAGATGATTTTTAATTTGAGTACCTAAGTAGACCCTGAAATTACTAGAAGATGACAATCAGAGAGGATTTATTGGCTTTTCTATCGTGTTGTTTATGACAAGAGTCAGCGTTCTAAGACGTAAGGAATAGTAATGGAGGCCCCATCATAGGGCGGTGCAGTCGAGAACGCCGCTGTTCGGAGGCGGAGAGTTGTCAGCACATATCGGGACTGCATCTGCCGGACCGGATTACAATGGTAGTTGAAGCACACGACAGGATGCGAGGAACGTCATTACAGTTAGAAAGTGATCGATTTCCTCATTTCCTTCTCCTCGGGCCAAATTATGGGCACGCCACACCACGGTCACAAAGAACACAGTGTCCTGACTTTGGCGGTCTTTGTTGACCT